TTTTTATTACCCATTCTCCCACGACTGTCAGACAAAAGTATGAAACCAAAACTTCAGGATTGCAGTTTGCTCTCCCCAGTTCAGTGGCTCAAGGTGCCAAGGCAGGAGCTCACCGGGGTAGCCAGAGTGTCATCCGGTCACCAACCCTCCAACTGGGCAACTGCGGGGAAATTGCAGAAATCCGCCCAATATCCCGGTGCCGCCTGAAAGAAGAGAACGTCCCCCAAACTGGAGGGCTAAGGAGATGAGAGGAATGGCCAGTTGAAACACAGACCCTGGAATCTGAGTGCCAAAAAGTAAGGGCGAGGGAAACTGCAACCCTTGGCCTCTCCTGCCCAGGATGTGCTGGGACACGCCGCCTCTCCCGCCCCCGGCCCGCCAGAACGACACGTAGTCATTGCGAGTTAGGCCCGATTACTCTAGGATACTCTCCAAACTCAGGCTATCCCCGAATTCTTTGTTTGCCTTCGACCCGGCTGAAGGCCGTTCGTTTTCCTTATTTTCCTCTCCTCCGGCACCGCGTCCACCGCCGCTACCGGAGCTGCCCCCGCCACCTCCGCCTCCAGAAACCTGTTTCTCAGCAGCCATCTTGCCCCTGCGCCGCAGAGCAGGACGGGATAGAGAAGGAGGGACAACCGGGGCGGGAAAGAGCGGGACCGGCCAGGACGGGCTGATGGGATAGCGGCGGACTCTGCCGTCTTCGGCCCGGTCCGCAGGCAGGAGCCACTTGGAGCGCGCCTGCGCGTGGTCTTGGATGCGAGGACCCGAATCGCGGCGGGCGGGGCTGAGGGCTCCGGGCCGCGGGCAGACCTTAGCTGTTGAGGTCCTCTCGGGAGCAATCCCACGTCCCGTCCACCAAGGGCCGGAGGACCCGGAGATGGACCCCCACCTCCTGCATTCCTGCACGGATGGTCAGGCTCACGTCCCGCGCACAGAGCGCGGGGGTGGTTGGCTAAGCGCTTTGGATTTCGGGGTGTCTACCTTCCCGGGGATTTGGGCGATGGTGTTCCCACCCTACCGGAACGAAGCACCCTGCCTGTGAGGGAACCGCCTCTGTCTGCGATTTCCTCTGGGCGGACCCTGAGGAAGCGATGGCCGAGGAAGCGCTGGCGGGTCCAGCAGGCAGTGTCCTGATGTAGAGACTTTCTAAGGCTGCTGGGGACCTGTGCCCTTCTCTGGACTTTGGGGCGATCAGTCCGAGGAGGGAGAAGTGTTGAGGCGAGGGAGACTGAATCTTTGCTCTGCAATATGGCGCTGCGAGTTCTGGAGCTCCAATCTTGGCTCCGCCATTACTGGTTGGGAGATGTTGGGCAAATAACAATTTCCTTCTAAACCTTTTCTCTCATCTGTGAATGGGGTTAACCAATTAAGATGGTTATGAAGACTAAATGAAACAATGCATTTTAAAGTAAACCTGTGCACTAATCATTAGGGAAATTCAAATCAAAACCACAATGAGCTATCACCTCACACCCATTAGGATGGCTACTATTAAAAATAATAATGGTGGGGCCGGCCAGGTGGCGCAGTGGTAAAGTGCGCGTGCTCCGCTGCAGCGGCCGGCCGGTAGTTGCAGGTCCGGATCCCAGGCGCACACCGACATACCGTACCGACATACCGTACCGCTTGCTAAGCCGTGCCGTGGCGGCGTCCCATATAAAGTAGAGGAGGATGGGCACAGATGTTAGCCCAGGGCCAGTCTTCCTCAAGAAAAAATGGGAGGATTGGTATCGGATGTTAGCTCAGGACTAGTCCTCCTCACACACAAAATAATAATAGTAATAGTAATAATAATAATAATGGAAAATAACATGTATTGGTGAGGATGTGGAGAAACTGGTGCACTTTTGGTGCAAAGGTACAATGGTGCAGCTACTGTGAAAGACAGTATGGCGATTCTTCAGAAAATTCAAAGAATTTCCATATGATTCAGCAATTCTACTTCTGGGTATATATCCAAAAGAACTGAAAGCAGGGTCTTGAAGAGATATTTGTGATGAGATATCTATATGAGTGTAGTCAACTTCATAGAAAGTAGAATAATTGTTGCCAGGAGCTGGAGGCAGGGGAAATGGGGAGTTATTGTTTAATGGGTACAGAGTTTCAATTTTGCAAGATTAAAAAGTTCTGGAGATTGGTTGCACAACAATATGAATATGCTTAACACTACTGAACTGTACATTTAAAAATGTTTAAGATGGTAAATTGTATGTTTTGTGTATTTTACCACATCTTAAAAAAGTAAGTCTCCCAAATGTCCACAGACAAAGGGATAAATAGAATGTGTTATAATCATACAATGGAATATTTATTTGGCCATAAAAACCATTGAAGTACTGATACATGCTACAACATGGATGAATCTTGAAAATATTATACTAAGCGAAAGAAGCCACACAAAAGGCCACATATTGGATGATTCCATTCATATGAAATATCCAGAATAGGCAAATCTATAGAGACACAGAGTAGTGGTTGCCTAGGGCTGGGGATGTGGGTGGAGATTGGAGGCTGACGGCTAAAGGGTAAGGATTTCTTGGGGGGGGGGACAAAAATGTTCTAAAATTGATTGTGGTGATGGTTGCACAACTCTGTGAATATACTAAAACCCAAATGAACACTTAAATGGGTAAATTATATGGTACATGAATTGTATTTCAAAAAAGCTTAAAAAAAAAAAAAAAAGTAGGCCAGATCATGTTAGTCCTCTTGTCAGAACTCTGCAATGGCTCCTCATTTTACTCAGACTAGAAGCCACGATCCTTACAATGGAAAACAGCCCTACATGCTATGCCTCTCACCTCTTGTCCTGCCAGTCTCCTTGTTGATTCAACTCAGGCCATACCAGCCTCCTTGCTTAGGGGCACAGGCACACTCCTGCGTTAGGGCCTTTGCACTGGCTGTTTTTATCTAGAATGCTCTTCCGTTAGATATCTGCTAGGCTAGCTCCCTCACCTCCTTTGAGTCTTTGCTCAAATGTCACCTTCCCAATGAGGTCTGCCTGACCGCCCTATTTCAAATTGCACCATGACCACCACCCTGGTGCTCCCAATTCCCTGACCCTGATCTACTTTTCCTGCAAGTATTTATCAACTTGTAACAGATTAATAACTGACTTGAGTTATGTTTATTGTCTGTCTCCCTTGCTTGGAAGGCAGCTCATGGGGGGCTTGATCTTCGTAGAGCTCACTGGTATATCCCAAGGACCCACTAGTACCTGGCAAGGAGCAGGTGCTTAATAAACCCTTATTGAATAAATGGATGGCAAACATCTCATAAACATGAACTGCTACTATCTTCCTATTCAATGAATGGGCAGGCAGCGCAGGGGTGCCAATGGGGTTTCCCTACCCAGAGAAGTAGGTAGCTGGCCTCTGAGACTGAGATCCTGGGGGTTGGGAGGAGAGGAAGAATGTTCTTGACTGGGACCCAAGGAACAGGGCAGGGAAAGGTGAAGCAGAGATCAAGTACAGTGGCAGAAGGTGGTGATTTTCAGACCCAATGAACCGGGGGCTTAAATCCTTTTGTTTTTTAATTTTTATTATTATTTATTTATTCATTTATTTTGTGAGGAAGATTAGCCCTGGGCTAACATCCGTGCCCCTCTTCCTCTATTTTGTATATGGGATGCCACCACAGCATGGCTTGATGAGTGGTGTGTAGGTCTGTGCCTGGGATCCGAACCTGCAAACCCAGGGCGGCTGAAGCAGAGAGCATGAGCTTAACCACTATGCCCACCAGGCCGGCCTGGGCGTGGGGGGGGGGCGGGTGGGAGGGGCGTAAATTCTATAGAAACAGTAATGATTCTGGATCACAAGTGCTTGATGCCTAATACGTCAAAATCAGAAACAAGGTCCCACCGGTGGCTTAGCGGTTGAGTGCCCCGCGCTCTGCTGCTGGCGACCGGGGTTCGGATCTGGGCGCTCACCCAGCACCGCTTCTCCGGCCATGCTGAGGCAGCGTCCCACATACATCAACTGGAAGGATGTGCAGCTATGACATACAACTATCTACTGGGGCTTTGGGGGGAAAAAATAAATAAATAAAATCTTCAAAAAAAATCAGAAACAAATGTTTAAGTTTTATTGCAACTTAAACACCTTCCTGGCCATCTAGGAAAATGCTGAGGATGCATGGAGCTCTGTTATTTCCTAAAAGTTTTCCCTTTTTGGATATCTGAATAGGGTAAGGAGAAAGAGAAGAAGAATTTGATTCATTCAGATTCTACCAACTGGCTTCAGGCCTCTCACATACGTCTCATTCCATTCTCACAGATCCCTCTGAGAAGGTGTTACTATCCCACATCACAGCTGAGGAAACTGAGGCACAGCGCCAAGGACAAAGCCTGGCACACAGTAGATGCTCAATAAATAACTGGATTGACTTGGAGAGGGAAACGTTCAATGGGGGCAAGAAAGGAATGAGATGAAGCTAACCAAATTCCATTAGAACCTCCTTCCGTCCTCCCCACTGCTGCTCTCAGAAGTTCCTGTGTGGCGCGGTGCTCCTGAGAAGTAGAAATGGGAAGAGGCGTGGAGCACACGGCAGAGCCGTTCTAGCCGCCAGTGCTGGAAAACGCGGCCCCCCGTCGGCCTCTGCCCCTTGTAAACCCCACCACCACCCCTTAAAGGCCGCCCGGAACTCTTTCGAGGACGCCCCGCCGCCAGCCTCGGGAGGTCTGGCGCGCCCGCCACGCTTCAGGGAAGCGCCTAGGAGCGCTGGGTCCCGGGAGCTCCAGACAGTGCGGCGCACACGCACACTCAAGTCTCAGCAGTCGGTCACTCCACCACTCCGGCTGCCGGGGACCATCCCACCCCTCCGGCTGCTCGCTCCTCCCCATGACCCCAGCGCACCGCCATCTCCAGCCCCAGCCGCCTCGAGGCTCACTCCGCATGCAGCTCTGCGAAGTCCCGCTCCGCGCTACAGCGCCGCCGGAGCTGCGCTCTCACCAAGCCCCAGACGGCTGCAGGAGCCCGGGCAGCCTCGGGTTTGGCGGCACCATGAATGGCTCGGGTGGCCCGGGGGCCGAGGACGCGAGCGAGGTGGGCGGCGGGGGCAGCTGGCAGCCCGAGGCGGTCATCGTGTCCATGTTATTTGCGCTCATCTTCCTCTTGGGCACCGTGGGCAACGCACTGGTTCTGGCTGTGCTGCTGCGCGGCGGCCAGGCGGTCAGCACCACCAATCTGTTCATCCTCAACCCGGGCGTGGGCGACCTGTGTTTCATCGTGTGCTGCGTGCCCTTCCAGGCCACCATCTACACCCTGGACGGTTGGGTGTTCGGCTCGCTGCTCTGCAAGGCCGTGCACTTCTTCATCTTCCTCACCATGCACGCCAGCAGCTTCACGCTGGCCGCCGTCTCCCTGGACAGGTGAGCGAGTGCCGTGGCGACCCAGGGGGTCGGGCACCGGGGGTGGGATGGCTGGAGAAGGGGGCAGGACTCGAGGGTCAAGGAGGGGCGCGCAGAGAGTAGAAAAAGACACTAAGAAGGCAAAGGGACTGGGAGAGAGTGAAAGACAAGCGCGCATCGAGGAGAAAGGGGAATAAGAATGGGGGACCGCGGTGTCCCTCCGTTAGGTGCGTCCTCGGGGCTGCAGGCTAGAGACCTCAGCTCTCCAGCGCCGCCGGCGCCTGACAAAGCGCAGCGTTTCCGGGTACAGAGCGTTTTCGCGTGCTTGGTCTCGCTTGAGCTCAATGTCCCTGTGATGCTGAGATGGGAGGGATTACTGTGCCCAATTTACAGACGAGATCGAGTTCCTAAGTGACTTGCTCAGAGTCGCCCATACAGTAATCGTGTGCATGAAGCCAACAGTCTGTCTCTTGGTGTCAAACTCAGGCGCCTCTACTTCGCTCGCCTCGAAGCCCGTTTGGTCGGCTCAGTCGACTCTGGTCCGGACTGAGGAATTTGGGTCCTAGGCTTGGGCCCACGCCAAAGTCCGAGCAAGCACGCCCGAGAGTCTCTAGCTCGCTCCCACCCCACTCTGCGCCCCACCTCCAGGCCCGGGGTCAAGGACAGGGAAAGGAGCGCGCCCGAGGGTCCACCTACCCCCTCCCTCGCCCCCCAGCTGGCGCTTGGAAGGACACCTGGATGATTCCTGGAGAGGAAATCCGGGTCTGACTCCGGTATCTCCCCGGCCCCCTCCTCCCCTACGTCCTCCCAATCTCCACTGGACAAGCAGAGGGTGAGGCCACATTCCCCATATACCTCCCAGTTCCACTCAGAGCGGAGTATGTCGGTTCCGAGAGCGCTGGTGGGACCGGTAGAAGGTTGGTTGCTCTAAGGAATTCCCTCGCGGTACCTTGCCTGACGTGCCTACAGGCTGTCTGCTGGCGCCTCAAGGCGCCTGGGTCCTACCTCTCCGGGCACCATCACTGGTGGGTAATCACAGCCTCCTGGAGCCTCAAAGCCGGTTCAACCTGCGGGCTGCCCTCCCAGCTGGAGTCTGACTATGGTCGTTGCCCCGGGAAGAGCAGATGAGTGACCTATACGCGCGCCTTTCCCGCTGTCGGGTCCCGCCCCACATCTAGACGCGGCTGAGAGTGTCCGGGATGCGCTGGGTCGCCCTCCGGGAGCATGCGGTATGACCGTGCGCTACGGACCTTTCTCGAGAGCAGGTATGGGGCTCAAGTTGCATGGGTCCGGCCCTGCCCCGGCGAATCCGCCCACTTAACCGACGTCTCCCTTCCTGGCCTGAACCGCAGGTATCTGGCCATCCGCTATCCGCTGCACTCCGCGAGCTGCGCACACCTCGCAACGCGCTGGCGGCCATCGGGCTCATCTGGGGGTTGTCGCTGCTCTTCTCCGGGCCCTACCTGAGTTACTACCGCCAGTCGCGGTTGGCCAACCTGACCGTGTGCCACCCGGCGTGGAGCGCGCCTCGCCGCCGCGCCATGGATCTCTGCACCTTTGTCTTCAGCTACCTGCTGCCGGTGCTGGGGCTCGGGCTGACCTACGCGCGCACCCTGCACTACCTCTGGTGCGCCGTCGATCCAGTGACCGCCGGCTCAGGCGCCCGGCGCGCCAAGCGCAAGGTGACGCGCATGATCATCATCTTGGCCGCGCTCTTCTGCCTCTGTTGGAGGCCTCACCACGCGCTTATCCTCTGCGTGTGGTTCCGCCGGTTCCCACTTACGCGCGCCACGTACGCGCTGCGCATCCTCCCGCACCTGGTCTCCTACGCCAACTGATGCGTCAACCCCATCGCCTACGCGCTGGTCTCCAAGCACTTCCGCAAGGGCTTCCGCAGGATCTGCGCCGGCCTGCTGCGCCGCGCCCCGCGCAGAGCCTCGGGCCGGGTGATTGTCGCGGTGCAGGGCAACCACAGCGGCAGCGTGCTGGAGCGCCAGTCCACCGACTTGACGCAAGTGAGCGAGGCGGCCGGGCCCTCCGCCTCTGCGCCGGTGCCTCTCAGCGGCCCAGCCTCGAGGCCGGTCCCTGGCCCGTCCTGGCGGGACCAGAAGGCCCCCAACGGCATTCTGACAGTTAATGTGACCTGAGAGCACTTGGGGGTACGCTTGAGTGTTAAAGGATTGGAGTCAGAGGTTGGGGGATCGTGGAGGGAGTTTCATCTGTTAATAAAACGTGCAAACCATTTCACATGCAGTAACGCGCTGTCTCCGCATCTCGCATCTCGTAGTCGTGAGGCTCTGTGTAAGAAGCCTCTGGGACTTCACAGGGGAGCGCTGGATGAAAGGGTGCAGAGTGCTATGCTGAGCTACAGGGAACGAGTGTAGAGCGCACCGAAGGCAGCGGAGGTAAATTCCGCCTAGAAATCTCTGAGACTGGGGAGCGCGGCACAACTGAAGGCTCTTTGCAGGTGGCCATCCGGAGGCACCACGTGTATACAGATCAGCGAACCAGCAGCCACCAATGCGTGCGACAAAGGCAGAGTGTTTAAGCGCGCTTGATAAATCCAGTCGATGACAGACACAGACACTACATGTGTTCCTAGTAGTGTTCGTGGGCCGGAGTGTGGCTGGTCCTTGCCTGCTCCCAGCTCCCTGGGGCCCTTTCAAGTCTCAGCAGCCGGATCAGTGCCTGGCCATTTTCAGTCTTGGAGTTTCCTTCCCTCCATGCACCTGTCCCAGATCAGGTCTCCAATAGCCTGGTTTCTCCTCTGGGCCAGGAAAGTAGCCCCTCACCTGCTGGTCCTGCTCCAGGGCACCAGCAGCAGTTCTAAGGCATTGCTAGTCTGGGGCAGGCTGAGAATCCAGTGAGGGAACCAGAATGCCCCAGGGCTTTGCTCTTGAGCTAGCCTTTACCTTTCTCCCGGTTTGCCCCACTCCTGGAGTTCTTGAGCCAAGGCTTTTTACAGGAAATCCGTTCAGTGTTTAAGGAGAGGCAGGAAAACCCTCAAGGATGTGCCCATCACACGTCATCAAGTGCAGGGCACTGTGGCAAGGGTATGGGTATTTAGCCAGGCAGTCTCCGCTAAGGGGAAACGCAGAGGAGGCCTGCGGCATCTGCTTGGATTGGAAGGACTGAGTCAGAGAAAGATGGGGGTCCCATGCTTGCCTGGTCCGCTTGGCAGGCCTTGAAAGCGGCAACCGGTTCCAGGTGGTGGAAACGGAGCAGGACTTAGAAGCCTAGGCAAGTGCAGCGTGGGTGGGGCTGGGTTCTGGGCTTTGTCTTTGGGTATTTGCGGAACCCAGGGTGGGAGTGCCAAGTCCAAGGCTCCAGGGTCCTTGCACAGAACAGGTGCCTCCAACCAACTGACAAGCAGCCCAGAGAAGTAACTGATACAGAGGCTGAAAGCCCCTCCATGCAGCCCCTGATGATGGCCCTGTGGCTCCTGCTCCATCTCTCCTTGCTCAGGCTCAGCACCACCCAGCCCTTAGTCCAGAGGCGTGGCGCTTCATGGGTTGGTAGGTGGAGGGCGGAAGGTCATGAGCTTTGGGATTTGGGCCCCAAGGCACCCAGATGACCTGGACCTCCATCCCTTAGCCGGGCCATCCTTTTTCAACTTCAACTCGCCAGAGGAGGTTCAGGAAGGCAGACAGATTCCGAACAACGGGAGCACACCCCTGCTTGTGGACGTACAGGTGTTTGTATCAACCGTGTTTAATGTGGTAAGTCTGTCATGCCGTGGGAGGGCACAGGTCCCAAGTGCTGAGCTGGGATGGGACAGGACTCAGCCCCAGCGAATACTGGGGTCTCCTGCGTTCTGTCGTGTAGCGCCCACCCCCAAGGTGACGTGCTGCCCCCCCCCAGGACATCTTGCGGTACACAGTGTCTTCCAAGCTGCTGCTTCAGCTGGTGAGTGGTGGTCACCCACGGGGTGGGGTGGGGGTGGGGGTGGCCCAGCTCAGACGTACCGGCCTTCATCAACCTGCCAAACCAAGAGGCACGGATATGCAGACAGCGGGAGTCTTAGTGGGGTTCCTGTGTCCCTAGTTCTGGCTCGACACTCGCCTGGCCTGGAACGCAAGTGAGCACCTGCAGCGTGGGGTCACACTGTCCTGGGACTCACTCTGGACACCAGGATTCACTATCCAGGAGGCGTAAGTGAGGCGGCAGTTCTTGTTCCAGGAACCCACCACGCATATCCCTCTCCTCCTCCTCTAGAGCTCCAAAACCCCCTTAGTGAATATTCCCCTCCTGGTGGCCCTGCCAGACCACTGGTGCACCTCCACTGCCCTGCTTTCTCCTCCTGGAACCCGGCTGGCAGCAGATGGCAGCTGAGCGTATGCCGGGGTCTCCCCCCACTCCCGAGAAGAGGCTGGGCCCCTGGCTGTGATACATTTCTTCTCCCCCCACCCCGCCCCACAGGCTCTGGGTCGACTGGCAGGAGCAAAGCCCGAGGGCCCGAGTGGACCAGGACGGCCATGTTGAGCTCTACCTGGCCCTCACCACAGAGACCACCTGTGACTTTGACCTCCTCCACTTCCCCAGGGACCAGAGCGACTGCAGCCTCAGCTTCTTTGCTTTTAGCAACACTGGTGCTGACGGGACAGGAGGCGGGGGGTGAGGGGAGAGGGGAGGGGAAGCCTCTGCCCCCAGCAAATGTCCGACATGGGGTAGCAGGCTGTGTTCACACCAGCCTACCCCCAGGCTTAGGGGAGCTGAACAGATCCTGGGGCAGAACATGCTTCTCATCCTGCACCTCCCACTCAAATAGCAGCCCCATCTCCTAGTTCTCCCCTGCTCTCGGCTGTAGCCCCACTTCAGTTTTCTCTCCTCCCCCTCAACAGCCAGGGCCAAACTGCAGTGGCTGGGCCACTGGTCTCAAGCCCAGAGGCTCAGGTTGCTGCAGCCTCATCCCTGGAAACATCCTGAAGGTGTAGCCACCCAGTAAATATCCCACAGAGCCATCCGGTGATGTCCAACTTGGCAGAGAAGTCCCACCCTTCCCTATATCCCTCCGCTCCATCCCTCCCCTCTGGGAAATACCACAGCTGCCGCCCCACGAATCCTAATATTTCAGGTGTGAGATATATTGGTGGACGAGTCTGTGACCACTCCCCACTCCCCCATGAAGTGGTGCAAAGTGCATTTATTTTTACAATGAAAATTCATCTATGAATCTGATAAGGCCCTTCCTCTAACTGGAGAAAACTTGGGGTGTTGCAAAATAAGGTGTGGAAAGCCCTTGTAAGGACCAGTTTTGCCTCCAAGTCTGCCCCCCAGCAGCCATCAGAAGTCTCCATCATCCTTGGGGCTCCAGCTTGTTCCTATCCCTACTCTCAAGAGAGATTTGGGGGCAGGGGTTTCTCTTTCCTAGTTCACCATTCTCACCCCACCGCTTCCAGTGAATGAGTTGGAGTTCCGGGCCCACGTGGTGAATGAGATTGTGAGTATCAAGAGGGACTATGTAGTCCAGGATCTGAAAATCCAAGTCCCACCCAAGCAGCTGGTGCCTTGCTTCCAGGTGACGGTGAGTTGGGAAGTGGCTGACAGAGGGCTGATGGGGGCGTCGAGGATGCAGAGCCAGAGACCATGACATCCCCTTTCTACTGCCCACGCCCTGCACATCCCCCCAGAAAGCCCCAACTTTCTTCCTTCCAGGTGCGCCTGCAGAACACAGCCCTAAAGGCCGTCATAGCTCTGGTGGTACCTGGGGAGGCGCTGCTGTTGGCTGACATGTGCAGGGGGCTGCTGCCCCTCCGGGCCACTGAGCGCATTGCCTACAAAGTGACACTGCTGCTGGGCTACTTTGTCTTCTACTCCTCCCTGGTGCAGACCCTGCCCAGCTCCTCCTCCTGCAACCCACTGCTCAGTAAGCCCTGCACCTCTCCTTGCCCTGGGCAGGACCACCATGCGCCTGGCGTGCCTCATTTGTCCACACCTGCTGTTGCTCGAGCCAGGGTGCCTCTGCTCAGCTCCCTGGGCACTCGAGGCACAAGCCTGGCCCCTGACCTTGCCCCCCCCCCCCGCCTCCTCCAGTTTACTACTTCGCTGTCCTGCTGCTGCTGCTCTTCATCAGCACCATGGAGACTGTGCTGTTGGCTGCGCTGCTGGCCCGGGACAACCTCAGGGCCAAGAGCAGACCCAGCCCAGCCCCAAGAGATGAGCAGCGAGATCATGGGAACCCAGGGCCTAATCCTGAAGGTGGGCAGGGCTGGAGTCCCTTCCTAGGAGGTTCATGAGGAATGAGGCTGGGAGCAGGTCTGACAGGGGCAGAGCTGGCAGGCTGCACACCTAGAGCTGGGGCTGGGGGTCAGGGGTCACTAGGCTGTTTAGAGGCTCCTTGCATTTACTCTGCTGGCTCTGCTGTCCCTGGGCTCCACCACGTCTGCCCTTGGAAGAAGCAGGTCTGGAGCAGGGAGCAAGGTCGGCTTCCCTAAAGACTTGAGTGACTTCAAACTCCCAGCGATAACCCTATGGCTTGCAGAGCCTCTCTATGAGGGTGTTTCTTTAACTGAAGATGGCGTAGAATGGGCCAGACCCATATACTCATTAGTTGTTAATATAAGGGAGGGAGAAATACAGGCTGACACCCCCTGGGGTTCACCCTTCTTCTCTGGGAGAGCGTGGTGGGTGAGCCCTGAAGTACAGTGCCTTTTCCTACATCTCCCCACACAGAAGCCCCCAGAGGAGTAAAGGGGTCAAGAAGGAGCCGGGCTGCAGCGGCTGACGACATCTTCTTCTTGGTGTATGTGGCGGCAGTGGTGTGCTGCCACTTCATCTTTGCTGGATTCTGGATGTGGGTGCCATGCAAGTCTGCCCCACCCCCTGGCGAGTCTGCACCCCATGGCGGGCAGCCCAGGCTGTAACAGGGCAGGGTCCGGGGCTGCAGGCCTGGGGGAGGGCCATGACAGGGTCTCTGGCGAGAAGGAGGGGGAAAGTCGACTCTCTGCCCTAAGCCTGGAGGATCTCAGGCCACCCTGAGCTCTCCCTTCCGTTAGCATGCAAGCAAAGAGTGTGAAATAATCGCCTACAAGCAAGTGCACCTCAAGGGTCTGTCTTCATTGAGCTCAGCTGTTCACTGTTGTCCAAGTAGGTGGGGCCCCACCATGTGCCTGACCCCCACTCTGTTCCTGAACTTCTCTCCATGTCCACCAGTCACCCAGCACCCCTGCCTCCCCCCGCCTAATTGCTCCTTCTGCAACCACTGCTGCTGTGTGGCCCTGGGCCTGGAGGCACTGGGGACCAGAGACAGGGGCCTGAGAGGCTGCAAAGGGTGGTCAGAACTCCTGTGAATTCTGTCTGCAGTGTGCTGGACCCCAGAGGGCATGGAGAGAGCACTCCTGCTCCAGCCACCTAGGGGCCGCCGGGACAAGGGGGAAAGGATATCCCTGGACCTCAGGATTGTGGGCAATGGGGATGCGTTTGCGCACTAAATCCAAGAAAGTGGGTCAGTCCTGCTTGCTTTTGCTCCAGGCCCTCTGGCTGCGACGTGGCCTGCTCCTCTGACACTACCCACATGTCTGGGCTGAAGGGGGAGTTCTCCATCCCCAGCTCTGAACTGGGGTTGTTCTGCCTCCTGCTCTTGTACACACAAGGCAGCTGTGGGCACAGGCCTTTGTCTTCCTTCTCTGTCGTTTCCTGTCTGGAAGCCATCATGTGGCCCCTGCAGGGTGTGGTCAGGGTCACAAACCCAAGGTGTGAAGGAACCCCAGTGTTCCCAGAAGGTGCTGGTTTGGTGCGGACCATGGGCTGCGGGAAGAAGCGCAAACTGGGACTGAAGGGCTCAGCGACAGAGCTCCTGGCTGGGAGGATGAAGAAAGGTCCTTGCCTCAAAGGATGTCAAACTCACTGGGCCTAGAGGCAAGTTAACACTGGTTTATCTGTCCAATAACATGGCTGGTCTGGTGGAACCAGGCAGGGACAGCAGCAGGCTCAGGCAGAGGTGTCAAAGAGGCGATCGATCATGTCGCCCACCTGTTCCACACGGTATTTGATGTACTTCTCCGGGTTCTTGGTGAAGGGGATGCTGCCGTACCTGACCAGACACCGAGGTCAGGGGGGAAGGCCTAGCCTCTCCCCAGCTCCACCTCAGTCTAAGGCCCTCCTGATGGGGTGCCCCTCAGTGATGATCCTGTCTGGCCCCACACCAAAGCCCAGGGCACTGGATCTGCCATCCAAATCCACCCCCTCTCTTGAAGAAGAGAAGAGCACAGAGGCCTAGCTGGAGATGTGGGGAGCACAGGGCCGGAAGGCGGAGACAGAGAGCTCACCTGTGCAGAAAGGCTCCATAGGTCTCCTTCACAATGTTTTTCTGAGCTTGGCGAATCTTGTCCCTCTGCTCTGTGTCTGGAATAGCCCAAGCCTTCTGGATCTTGCACAACTCTTCAAGGCCATCATTGAAGCCCTGACCACCAAAAAGGTGGAAATAGAAGTGACCCAGAGACAAACACTTTGGGTCTGTGTTGCTACAACAGCAACAGCAAGCAGTGGAGAGGAGAGGATCCTGACTCACCTTAAAACGCTCCTTGATCATCTGTCGCTCCTTGTCCCGGAGCTAGGGGCCAGGAGAGATGGCAGAGAAAGCGTTTCTCAGAGCAGAACCGCCCTGCCCCTGCTTCCTTCCCAAACACCTGAGTCCAGCCCTCTCTCCTGCTGCCCTGGTGGCCACAGGCATCCTTTGCTCTCTTATCCCAGTTGGACACTTGTCTGTTTTTCCCCAGAGACACTACAGAAAGTACCACACCTGCTAGACACCCCTTCCCAGCCCAGGCCTTCAGCCCACCTTGACTCCTGGTTGGAATACAGGTAGATTCTTCTCAGTGATGTAGTCAGTCACCTTTAACCAACTGCCAGGTGAGAGAGAAGCAGAGGGCAGAAGAGGGACAGCCTCAGGTAGCTGCTTCTTCCCTGGGGTGGGTTTGTTTTGTTTTCTAAATCTGTTGATCTACTGGGGGGGTGGGGAGGGCAGGAATCAATCTGCGTCACAACTAAGCAAAAGACAACTGAGAGTTTGCCTTGGGAATAGAAAATGTTCAAGCTGCTCGCTTTTAAAATTAACAGGAAATTAAACAGGAAACAGAGCAGTCAATAAATTGAACAAATACTATCAACTACACTTCACATCAATATCACAGCAAATTAAGATGGAGAAGCAGATGCGGAGGGCAGATAAATAGGAAGGAAGAGGGAGACCACTCATGGGGAAGAAACACACAAAAGGAGAGAGAGATGCAGAAACCCAAGAGAAAGGAGGACTAGAGAAGCCAAGAGCACTGCAGAGCAAGGCTCAGCCAACTTCATGTGCTCTTGCAACCCTGCTCCTCACTTAGGCTAAACATCACCCACATCTTTGACAGTCAGCTCTTCTGCTATTCTTAGCCTTCACCCTTCGCAAACTACCCTCCGAAGAGGCTGGCACAGCGTGCCCCTAGGGAGCAGGCAGTAGTAGGGGAGAGGGCTTTCCTCTCCACCCCATGAATGTGATTAAAAACAAGTGGAGGATTGGGGTCCACAGGGAAGCAGTTCCCCATTACTGACCCCACTCTGACTGGGCCCAGGGTCCCGTGGCTCTCAGAAGGAAAAGTGAGTGGTGGGTACAGGGGTGGGGGTGAGGGGGAGGGGGAGGGCCCAGCCTCTCACCTGCGCTGGTAGGTCTGGATCTGCTGCTCAATGTGCTCCCGGTAGGAGCGCTCGGCAGTCTTCTGGGTCACAGCCACCAGCTGGATCAGCTCAGACCTGGGATGGGGTAGGGGAGAGAGTAGAGGAGGATGGAATTGGCTCCCAGGGCCCAAAGGCTGCCAGCCTCTGCAGCAACACCAGTGGGGCCTGCCTCACACCTCCCTGGATCCTGAGACTGCAGAGGGTAGAATACCACATTCCCCACTGGGACACGCAGAGGGCACAGCCAGCCCCGGGAGGGCAGCTGAGAGCCTCAGACCAGCATCTGCAGCCACTTACTTCTCCAGGGCCTTGAGGATGTAATTGTAGTTGTTGTGCAGGAAGATGGCGCTCAGAGCAGGGTCCTCATACACCTTGGACTTGCTCAGCAAGTTCAACTGCAGGTTGCCCAGTACTTTACCTGCACAGGGAAGGATGTGGCCACACCCACCAGGGCAGTCTGACCAGACAACCCAATCCTGGGGCGCACAAACCAACTCATACCCCTCGCTCCTTGTCCCTCCCCGACTCCAGACTCCACAAGCCTCAGGAGCCCTTTGCCCAGCCCCCCTCAGCCCTTGAACTAAAGGTTAGATTGCAATTCCAAAGGTGGTGGTGGTGGTGGGGGCTCAGGAGCAGAACCTGGGAACAGCAGGAGAGCACAAAAAGGAGAAGGAAGGGAAAAGATGGGGAATAGGGGCACTGGTCTAGAGAACACTCACAGATATAGGTGCTTAGGAGGCGCTTGCTGAACTCGGAGCTGTAGCTGGTGGCTGAAGAACTGGTCTCTGTGAGAGGAGAAGTCCTGTTATTGCAGCGGTGGCAGAGCCAAGACCCTCTCTGGCCTTCCCTCAGCCCAGGGAGCAACCGAGGAAACCCTGGGAGGAGCCCAAGCCTTCCTCTGGCACAAGGGACACAGAGGCACTCAGGGCAGAGCTGGGTGTCTGCGGAGCGATAGGGCTCCCGCCCACTGCAGGGAGCAGTCCCTTGGACTCTTTCTAGAACCCAGGACAAGCCCTTTGGTGCTGATGAGTGGCATGGTTAATGAGCTGGCCCATGATCAGCAGAAAGACTGGCAGGACAGGAGTGGGACACCCCCTGCCCTCCAGTCCCTGATGCCTGACCCATGCTGGGTAGTATCCACAAGTACCTACCTACCCCATTTGTCAGCAGAAGAGGCTTAGAATGTGCTCCCCAGGCCTCTCTCCTCCCCCACTGCCCACCACCTCCTCTACCAGGCCCTTTTGAACAGAGGGGACTGCTGCCTACACAGAGCAGAAGGCCAAGGGGGAGGGAAGTGGATGGGAGAGGGAGAGGTTGGGCAGCTGCTGGGCTAGCCTAGAGGGTGGGCTCAGGGTGCTGGACACAGCAGGGTGCTCCCTGGATAAGCTCAGAGACAGAAAGTGGTTGTGCAGGGAGCCGAGAGAGTTGGGAGCACCCCGAAGGAACCCATGTTCCCTCTGACCCCCACTCTCTAATAGGTCCTGAGTCTGTCCAGGTGCCTCTATCCCCAGGGAACCTCACCCACGGGGCTTCAGAGGGGGAGGATGGGGCTGCAGAGCCCTCTGCTTACCTCGGGGGTCTAAAGGAATATTGTATGTGTCCCCAAGAACTACGGAATGAAAGGCAGTGCGCAGAGAGGGGAGAGAGGGAGAGACAAAGAAAGGAGAAAGATGCAAAGTGCAAAAACAGGTTAGAAACAGCTAAGTCATCCGGAGTCAGGCAGACCACTCCCCCGACAGCAGAACACAGACAGCAGCACACACCAGGCTGGACCCACTGAAGACCAGGGAACACACAGGAAAGTGGAAATCTGGAGAACTGCAGGTCAGGGGCTGCCCCTTGTCTCCCTGCCCCCAAAACAAGGGAAGAAAGCAGGGTCCCTGGCCCCAACCAGCTGGGCTGGCCTCCGTGCTCAGAAATGAGCTCCTCCTACATGCCAATCTCCCGAGCTCCAGTCCCAGGGCATCATGCAGGGGGAAGACACCAGGCAGGCGCTGAGATGCCAGCCCACCAAAAGGGTTGGCTGTGTCAGACTAATTAGGGGGACAGGGCCGGCCCTGTGGCTTGGTGGTTAAGTGCGCGCGCTGCAATGCTGGTGGCCCGGGTTCAGATCCCCGGTGCGCATTGAGGCACCACTTCTCCGTCCATCCTGAGGCCGAGTCCCACATACAGCAACTAGGAGGATGTGCAGCTATGACATACAACTATCTACTGGGGCTTTGGGGGGAAAAAATTAAATAAATAAAATCTTTAAAAAAAAAAAAAATAATAATTAGGGGGACAGGTGGACACAAGAGGAGGTGGAGAAATGCGGAAGGAGGGGTGGGGCGGGAAGGGCACCTTCGAACAAGCCAGTG